TTTCTTTTCTTCTCCATTATTCTGAGGAGGCAGTAAACCTCAGTCTAAATGAGCATTTACATAAAAATCAGAGCTCTCCAAGGCATCCACTGAAACTCCTTTATTACAATATTTGCTTTAATTTGATTTTCTTTTTTGCCTGTGGGAGAGTTTCAATCACATTTGGTATGATTTATAATTGTACACCCCCTCCTCCTGCAGAGGTCATTCCCTTTCCTAAAACTGCATCATTTGACCAGAAACAATTCCTTTTACAAGTAAACAGCTCAGCAATCAATATTGTCCATAGATGATAGCAAGCACAGTCCAATTTTTAACAGGGTCTCTCAAACGTCAAAAATCTCACTTCAATCTCCAAGAAATATAATCTGTTTACATCACCTGCAGCCTCTTGGTTGTCTCCTTCAGAAAGACTTTCTTGGGCTCACTGAATAACCTCTTTTACTTTATCTTATGAAGAATCCAGCCTCATCATACATATTTCAAGCAATCTTCACCTTCCTGAATACAAGTGAATCAGGGAATCATATTCTGTGATTCTCATTTATTTATGTCTCCACTTCAAAACATAAAATCACATACTAAGGGTTAGGATGCGAGCATCTTCTCCAAGATATTTAATCCTGCTTCCATGATATTGATCTCACTTTGTTTTATTAAAATAATCTGCCACATGCTATTGAAATTGTCTCTCAAAGAAACAAATACTTCTTTTAAAGAGGGTATATTCAGGAAATGTATTTTTCAAAGTATTAAAAAATAGTATTTAGCATTGTATTTATACAGATATACTAAGCCTTTACCAAACATGGAACGTGTGCAACGAAATAAAAGCTAAAGTCAGTAGCAGAAAAGCAAAACTATAATAATAAACAAAATAACTATTTTTCCTATTTCTAATCTATGCTATGACATGCCAAAGCATTACCACACCTGATGGCATATTGAACCCAAAGTAAAAAATTGTATTTATCTAAAACACATACACTGGATGTGATTTACTGTCCCCACATTTATCTCCACATGTTTTGTTGCATATCTGCATGGTATTACATGAACATATCATGAATTCATATGTATATACAGTAAAGTAAGCATCTAGACACATCTGAATGTGGATCTGCTGCTTAGCTATATATGTGTGGTTGTGTGCTTATGGATCAGACATATAACTGATAGAAAAATTAGGGTCCATATCTTTCAGTCAATATATAACCACGGGATGTTGGAGTTTGAATTTTATGAGATTCCTCTTTCTTGCAATCTGAAGCTCTTAACAAGTCATTATTTATCACCTAAACCAACTGATTTCCCCTATTCACCTATCTCAGCTTCAGGACTCAGAGCTGTAGGAAAACCCAGGTGATTTCTGCATAGTTCTTTGGCTTTTCTGGAGGAACTTTGGGCTTTATTTTAGAAAGAATGTTCAGTTACCCAGTCTCAGGTCAGCTATTCCATCTGTGTTACTGGTTGGCTTAAAAACATTCCCTTCTCTACACTGCAAACAACAGCAGTATTCCCATTTTTTTTTCCTCTTCTTGCTCTTAACAGAATGTCTTTACAAGAAAGATAACAAACTTTGCATGTGTGCATTCCATGATAAAGAGAAGTGCAGAGGCAGCTAACCTGTCTCCAGCAACCAGGTAAGGGACAAAAAGTATGGTACCACCTGAGTTAACATATCCTGTAAAATAAACTGATATGCATTTCTGTAATGTATGCACTCTAACTTGTTTTACTTGCTTTTGTAGTGGCTATAGTCCAGCTGCACACAACAAATATAGATATTTGCACATGGCTTCCAAGGGCCACACCGTTACAGTTGACCATATTACTAAAGACAAGGCAGAAAACCACAAAGAAAGCCTGTCGAGCACTGAGACAGGGTAAGAGTTGTGGCCTCCCAGGCTTGAGAAGTTCACGTGAGGAGACATTCCCAAACACATCATCAGTCAAAGATTTTCCTAACCAGAAATCCCCCCGCACTGCTCAGGAAATCCTGCCAGTCTGCAACAAAACACCCAGAGCCATTGGCGACCTGAAGGGGTGAGCAAAACCTCTGCACGCCGTGCCAGAGACTCTGTCTTACCCCACGGTACTTGGGGAAAGGCTGAAAGCACTGTAGCCCCCTTCCTGGGGCTACAGCTTTTGGATGGACACATCTAACTGACAGGACACGTCAGTCATGCTCCTGATCAGTAAACCACTCGTTGTTGTGCGCAAGTAAAGAGTGAGAGACCCTGAAAGACATCATCCCCAAATCAAAGCTGAGTATCAACGATACTGCTATCTGTACGCCATTCAGAAGTGAACACTCACAGGAGATGGTGCCAACCTGACTTAGACTGATACTGAGGGGAAAATACAGAGGAGTGGTGTTTCCTAAATCTCTTGGCCACCCATTTGTCTGGTCGTTGCCTGTCCTCATAATGCACCCCAAAACCTATTCCACCAGAGCAGTGGGGTTTACCTTAAAACTTCCAGTCTAGTTGAAACTCCATCAGTCTGCTCAATACCACACTGCCAAAACATTCCTTTCTTTTTTCATCATCCTAATAAAGTGAAGCTTCTTGTTTCCATATGTGTCCGCTGCCCTGAAAGCAGAAGGCACCCTAATTGGATCAATGCACAAACTTTGTTGCTCTGTGAGAATGTGTTGTTGCCTTACAGTAACTTCTGCTGTGCCTTCTATTGCTTTTATCAATGCCTTTGTTGTAGCAAGCTTTTCCTGTGACGAGTAACATTTTGAACAGTGCTCATTTCAGTCTGTAGGCATTAGCTGTGGGACAAATCTGTTTTTCCTACGGGAAACCCATTGTCCTTGAAAAGAAGATATCCATTCACCTGAACCAGGGCTATGTCAGAATACTACTAACTTTAAATCCAACAAGTAAAACTAGCAGGGATGCACAGCAACAACTGGAATAATATTTAATATTACATTCTAGCAAGCCCAGCAGCGACATAATTATGTGGCCACTGCTGCATCAAACAAGGAATAACCACTGAACACACTTGACAGCATATGCTGTCATTTACAGATGCTCTTTGGATAAGATCTGTAACGTAAGTCTGCAGCCTCCCTCTTCCTTTCAGCTGTTACAGAGGTGCAGTGAGCTGGGGAAGCAGAGGCAAAGGAGGATGAGGAAGAGACATTTCTCTGGTTTTGACAGAGTCTCTTATGTGTCAACTCCAACTAAGGTTTCTTTGAACTCTCTCCCTGCTGGTCCATAACAAGAGTAGAGTGTCATGTCTTATTCCTTACCAAGGTCACTGGGACATAGTGTTAGAAATCTTCAAATGTTGGCTGTGAAGGCACCCTATAAGAAACACCTTTCTTACTTCACATGAACCATATAACGCTACCTTTCCACCTGAGGATTGATATCTTTGCCAATCCTTTCCCACCTTCATGGAAATAAACTTTCATTATGAGAGCTGTGAATGATTGCCCCTCTGTTACAATCCCTAACGTGATATTCAAAAAGTCCTGCCAGTCTCTTCCCACTGGCTCCTGAACTCAGACTGAGCTAGCAGGAAATTATCAAAGGGATGTTTCAAATCAAGGACATTTCTGCTGCCTCCATCCACTTCTATCCTATTTTGACCACTACTGTTCTCAACTCTCCATCACCCTGGGGCAGCGGTCCTGGGCCATATGCTACAGAAATCTCACCCACTCCTTACTTAGAGCTCTATCTCTACCTGCTACAGGTGAAGGGGTCTCACAGGCAGAGGGACCAGCTCGAGACTGCGGACATTCCCCTGCTCTCTCAGCCAGGATGCTGGGCACCCCATGTCAACGCTGACACTGGCCCTCTTTTAGTTAGTGCCCTGTAAAAATAGAGTCTCTCCCCTCCTGAAGGAGTGCTCCAAGCCCCCCATTTTGTGGGTCAGTTTTCCCAAAGACTTTTAAAACCTCCACAGAGATCCACACGGAAAGAGAAAATGACAGGTTTTTGTTGGTGTGCTTCAAATCTTCGATGCAGCTGGGATGGATGAATGACTCTCCCTCTGTGCCACACCACCATTAATGAGGAGATACCACTGTCCTCCACACCCACAGTTATTGTCTTCTTCATTTTGCCTTTGCAGACTAAATTGTTGTCATCTTATAATGTCTTTACCTGTATGAAAACCATCCTGCCAAGTTTCATGTACTCCATAAAGGGCATAGATAGCCATTAATTTATACTACATTTGCTTTTTGTTCTTAATTGCCCAGATACTTGCTGCATTTTATGTAAAAGTTTTCTGGGTTATGTGACAACAAATTATTCTTCACTGTCTGTCAAAAGGCAATGCCTTCTTCATACCACTCTGAGCAGCTGAAATTCTCATATCAGTCTGGATTACCTGCAATCCCTCCTTTTCACTCTTCAATTTACAGATTATCAAACTAGATGGGGCAATTTCAAACTCGGTATCTTTTTTGTACATAAGGCAGGAGGTTGCATCTTCTGTTTTATGAAGTATCCCAGTGATCTCTAGATTCAGAAATTTCTTGCCGATGTTAATTTGGCTCTTTGATTAGTCTTCTTTTTGATTTTAATCAGAACTGGCATGGGGAAGTACCTTAGGCTGTTTTGACCCATTATCCCTTCAGTTCTAGAAATCATCTTTTTGGCACATTTGATTAAAATGATCAATTAAAGGGAACACTTTGCAGTTCTTTGACATTAAACTCTCCACTTTTGGTCCCATCCCCTATTTTAGTTCCCAAGAGTCACGGCACCATTAAAAGATTTTTTTTTCTGTAATCAAAATGTGATAATTCTTTTTATAATGGTGCAATTATCTACTCTCTTCTGGTTTCACCTTAGCAAGCTCAGTGAGTCATAGGCCTTTACATCTACTGCATCTACGCCCACTGACTATCAACAAGGAGCGACAGTCCCTGGGACTGATTTGCTCTCCACAACTGGTTTACAAGGAAGCACCTGCTTAGAACTAGACACCCTTCAGTGTAAACTCTGAAATAAAAATGCACACGTGGATTGTACTGTCTAGTTTATTTATTCATTTGTTTACGATTCACTGTAAAAGAAGGTCTGATTCTTTCTCTCCTGGCAGTGTAAATCATGTTACAATCACTACTGTTACAATTGTAGAAAAGTAGTATAAATACTGCAAATCCAGCTCAGCATCTCTAGTTCCTTAAACAAACACGTGCTTCCTTTCACTATTCTTATGCATTCCTCTTACAGAAAAGAGTAATGCTCAGGACTTGAAAGGTGAAGCTCACCTGCAGGACTAGCATCGCGGGGACAGGTGTCTTTTCCCTAGAACAGAACCAAAGAAACCAGATTAAAAAAAAAAAAAAAAGAGTACCTTGTCTTACATTTAGGAGTAGTCACGTCTTCTGTGCAGCTGTTGAATACAAAAGATTTCTCAGAGGCTCACTTTTTTCAATTTTAAGTCATGCATAGGGGACAGAACTGAATCACGTTGGGAGGAATTCTTGTTTGCTAAACCCTCTATCATTCCTGCCCTGGACCAACTTTGACTCTTAAACAAACAAGATTTCCTTTGAGTCCTGGCTGATCTTCCTTTAGAAATCTTGAGAGGGGTACATAATTTCTACTCTGCGACTGTCTAGCCAGAGCTGAGAACGGAATGCAAAATAAATAAATAAATTAAAAGCATTTGAAATTACTTTCATTTGGCCACGTTCCTGCCTCTTTTGTGCTTGCTTTCCATGTATACAGGAAGGAATGAATTTTGTTGTTGGAATTACTCATGAAAAGCAGAGTTCAAAGTGGTGAGCACATGAACAGCATGCACAGAAGCCAAAATGCAAATGTGCATGTAGAAGAATTCATGCCAGAAATTCTTGCACATTCATGGAATGTGACTCTTCTGACCAGGCTTGAGCAGACAAGGTAATGTCAATGTTTAGCGGCTGCTGCTAATCCATACAGTAAAAAGCCCTGACAATATGGGTTTTCTAAATTCATTTCAATAAGGAATACATTCAAACAGACCACGTCACGTTTTCCTTCCCCAGACAACAACCAAATGTGTTTTAACTATACGCCATTCATGCTCACACAGCAATCTTGGGAAGGCAATGGCTGAAGTGGAAATCTGGTCCTGTGATGAAAGGCAGTGAGCTGGGATTTGGGAAGTACTGAGCTTTGCCATAGCCTTCTTAGGGGACCTGAGATAAATCCTGCAATCTCTTTGTTCCTCCGCTCCCTGTCTATAAAATGGTGATAATGCTTCTCTTCTTCCCAGAGCTCGGAAGAATTATGTCTGCATGGTAGTTGGATGCTGCAGGCGCCAGGATTGTACAAGCACTGATACACTGACAGCATCATTTTTGGAAACCGAGATGAGCGACTGTCACTTACACTCACACCAAAAGAGAATAAACCATAGCCAGGCAACTGGGTTGGTAAGGATATCTGCTCTCACCTGTGAATCACTCTGTTTATTTGCATATGTTTGGGGCCATTAGGGACAAACCCATCCAGTGAGTCAAAATTTGTCACTCCTGGCTTGTGGGCCAAGTTATCGGTGAGCACAGTGGGAAAATTTTGGAACGTATGACCTTTGGTTACCAGATAGTTGGTCTAGGCCACACAAATTCTGGTGTGACCTTCACCTTCAAGGCCAGGACACTTTCTCAGAACACCTACTTATGATTCCTTGTGGTAAATACATTCCTTTCTTAACCAAATCTTTGTAACATGCGTCTGACAAGGACCAACTCCCCGTGTCGCCCAAGATCAACTGCCCAGCTTGGGCCCAGGTGGCACATTGAATGAGCTCCTCGAGCAGGACCATAGCCTACATAGGAAGCAGGTATTTAATCTATAAAAAAAATCAACAGACTACATCTATCAAAATCAATAGAAATTTTTCCCTTTTCTGTCTTGGCACGTGTTAAATTAACACTTTTCTTGAGCAGCCTCTTAACTCAACTTCATAGCATCTCTCTCTTCAGTCTGTTCTTCACCGTATGCTTTGGGGACAGCCCATCTGAAATCTCTTTTCCAGGAAATAAAGTTTTTTAAAAATGTAGAAAACAAAGGTCTTTCAAGTCTCAAAATTAATATGATCATGCAGGTTAATACCAAGCCATCTCTCATTGCATAATATCTGAAAGCAGGTCATTTCAGGATTATAGAAGAATCTGGAAAATTACCTAAGAATTCTCCTTTTCCGGTAGGAGCTTTAAAGCTGCACCTTCATTCAATCAGGAAGGTAATTTCCTCTATGCAGCAAGTTTCAAATTCTACTTATAACCTTGGTGCCATGACAATTTTGTTACTAACTTGTTCCATACTAAGTATTGCTACTAGAACTGTGAATAATCATCAAAATTAACTAGCCTATAGAGTGATTAAATAATTTCCTCCAATTTGCATTTGATATGTTTATTAAGTGCTGGAGGGTATTCTTTGCTCTCTTACTTTTACTGGATTTTTGGCATAGGTGCAGTACTATTATGGTTACTACAAATTTTAATCAGATTACGGTAGGAGTTATCATTTGATACTGTAAAAATGCCAGTAGGTAGTAGATAAATATTAAGATACAATTAGCTGCCACTACCATTTATTGTTTGGAATTCATTAATATTGAGATAAGTTTGCATTCTGTGGCAATGACGACTTTTTTAATGTTCCCTTTTTTTACAAATTATGTTTTCTTAAAAGAGCGCAAGTAGTAAACAAGAGAGAAGTTGACTATAAACAATGTAAATATATACAGCAGGCAATATTAAAGCTACAAAAAATACAAAGCACCTCTTACGTGCTATTCCTTGTGCTTCATTTGTCCTACCGTTGTCAACGTAGACCTATTACTCACAACAAGTACATTCTTCGTGAGATGTATTCATTTTGAACCTGATGAAACTATTGGTGCTAATCGTCAATAAAAACTGTGATTTTCAATGTACTGGAAATCTGTGTTTTCAAATGCATGTCTTGGCCCTTTACACAAGCAAGTGGTTGCTGATGCCAATGTGCATCAGAAATGCAATCGTACTATACTTAGATGTGGTTCAACCACAGTTATAACATAGGCCATTAAGGAGCATTAAAAAAAAAAAGAAGAAACAAAAAGAAGAAAAGAAAGAATTGAGGTTAAAAGGGAACACGTTTTGTTGCTCAGCTAAAAGATTTATCTATAATTAGAAAACTAAATTGTTCAAAATTAGACTAACTAGATAAAATATTGATATCTCAGAGGACATACGCGTACCATATAGAAAACATGCTCACTTACGTTTCCCCAGGGCTTGTAAAGAACTCTGAAGACTTTCAGCACGGCTCGGGAAATCAGCTTTAACACAATTAACTGGAGAGTTGGAGAAGACTGTGGACTCCTCTCTCGGCAGACTGGCACCTGTTGGACAGGGAAAGCAAACTCTCCTCCATCATCCCCAACGTTTTTCCAGTGTCTTCCCAAAATGCAACTCCTCCTGCTCAGCTTTGAATCTCAAACAATCAAAACCACGTAGAGCCAAACAATGTACAAATTAAACCTGCGGTGAATAATACCGGGTAAAAGAATAATACATGTGACCATGCAACCGCCTGCTTTCCCGGGCTGGAGCTGGAGAGGAGTGGGAAATGCCCAGCTGCCTTAGTTGGAACCGACTCAAAACTTCATCCGCTTTGGTTCAGTTCTCAAAATAGGGCACATGACCTCTCTAAGTCAGACACTACAGTAGGCTGCTTTTACACTACATCGCCGCTCCTGCAGCCCCTAATACCGAGCATGGGAGGAGGTAAAATGTGACTTTACCAAGCATGGGAGGAGGTAAAATGTGACACTTGCCGAGATTCAGCGTTATCTTGTTTGGTAATGCCATTATCCATAGCAAATTTCCCACTATCTTTAGGAACAGAGATGACATCTGCTACGGAGTGGCTTACACTCCTCTGTCTGCTGCTTTCAGTGTCATGTGTCTGACACGAGTTAACCTCTTATAAAATCTAATGCGAGGGAAGAGAATTGCACATCAGAGGTGTCCGTGCTGCTCCTCTTGACCTACTTGGAAAACTAAGACTCGACTCTTTGCGGTTTCCCCCATCACAACACAGCTGCAGAAGGCAGTAGCGGGACCACTTTTAACAGAATTTTAAATGTGCTATATATACATTTGTATGCCTTTGAATAGCATTATTTCCAAACCTTGCAAAGCCCATTCGTTATTTTATCAAGCCCGCTATAGGTCCTTTTTTTTTCCACGGAATTGGTATAATGAGAAAAGATAGCCCTTTCTCTTCACAGATAAAGATCTAAATTGCGTTTTATAATCTGACAATTATGTAGTTTGATTTTTTAAATAAAACAGATAATCTCCCTTGCCTGTTCAAGATGAGATCTTAGTTGTTAGTGACAGCTGTTAAAATGCTGCTAAAAATAGATATGGTGTCAACCACTAAAAAGCTAAGTGCTCCCGTGAACCACAAGCAGAAAACAAATGAGGTTTCTACTAAATTTGTGGAAAATCTATGAGCATCTTGCATGTACTGGGAAAGGTGCTTTATTCTTCCAGCAGCCATCTCTGTATGTAACACAAGGGGAGGGGGGGGTGGGGGGGTGGGGAATCAAACATTTGGTATTAAGACAGGTGATAAATATATTCCCTCGATTTTTTTTTCTTTACCCTTCTTGTTTAAAAAAAAAAAAAAAAAAAAAAAAGACAGAGATAATGCAACACAAAGACTAAAGCTACCTCCAGGCATTTCAGATGCCTTTTTCATTTCATTTACACCTTTGCCCTGAAAAAAAAAAAAAAAAAAAAGAATGTCAGGAAGAGTAAGACAAAAGAAGTGCAACCCATCAGCCAAATACAGCGTTACTATAAATTAACATAAAACAGTTGTGCTCGGTGCGGCAGTTACTGATAGACCAGCCAAGGTGCTCGGGTGCTTTTTGCATGACTCTGATTTGCTGGGTTACTCCCAGAGTTGCGTGGAACTTTCCTCTGCCTTGGAACTGCAGCCTCCAACCCGTCCGTGGTAGCTTTGCACGATTAATAAATGAGCTGTATTCCAAACCAGATGTACAACATGAAACGAGTAAAAAGAGAGAGAACAGAATTGTTCACATTCGGTGTTATAATATATCTCAGTAGGTTCCTCCTTTTTAGCTACATTATGGCTAAAAATAGAGCACTAGTGTAGGCACAGTGAAATATGATTTGCTTCCAATAATATAGCAAACTAATTGTGAAATTAAGCTATTGAATGCACCATTATCTCCAAGTCTGGCCTCACCAGCACTTTATGCTTCCCTGTTTAACATTTATCAAGTTACCCACAAACTTTGACGGATGCAAACAACAGCTGATAAAATACTTGCCTTTTCCAAGGCCCCGATCCTACGGAGGCTCCGGCACAGGTAAAATGTGAGCAATCCTTTCCTATGATTAAAGACTTCGCTGAGGGTATTAAAATAGGGCCAACTTTTTCCTCTCTCGAATGCCTAATTTTTTTCCTTAAGATGTTTAAATGAAGAAACACTTAATGCCCCGCACTTAAAAATAACCAGTTTTAAAAGACCTTAGCCACAAGTAAAATACTAATTTAAAACCGGTATCGATGTTAGCGCCCATTTTTTTTTTTTTTTTTTTTTTTTAAATGTCTGAAATCAGGATGGGTTTGCTCCGCCGGTGTTACCCCCGGGGGGGGTGGCGGGGGCAGCGCGGGGCCCGGCTCCCCGCGGCTGGCGGGAGCGGGGAGGGGGGCGAAGGAAGGTGCAGGCCCGGGGGTGGGGGGGACGCGCAGCCTCCTCCCAAAATCCCGTCCAGAAGCGCCGCGCTCCCCGCAGCCCTCCCGGCGGGTTTGAGGGGGGGTGTGTATGTGTGTGTGTGTGGGGGGGGGGGGGGGGGTGGGGTGCCTCCGCCGCCGCCGCTACCGGGGCCGGGAGAGACGCTCCGCCTGGGGAAGGGCGCGGGGAGACACTCCTCCCCCGCCGCCCGCCCTGCCTCCCCGCCGCCCGCCCTCCTTCCCTTCCTCCGGCGGCTCCGCGAACCAGGAACCGCGGCGGCGGCGGCGGCGGCGGGCTCCGTGCGTGAGAAACCCCGCGGCGCCGGCAGCCGCCGGGGCGGGAGGGGGCGGCGGGGGCGGCGCGGCCGCCGGGCGCTGCTGAGGGGCCGGGCGGCACCGGGGGGGGGGGGGGGGGGCGGGAAGGGAGGAGAGGGGGGGGAGGAAAAAGTTTACACCCTCACCACTCTCCTCCCTCCTCTTCCTTGGTGGCGCAGATGGGAGTTTTACCTGGAATGACATAAGTTTTTTTCTTGCGTTTGTTGGTTTTTATTTTTTTTTTTTTTTTTCGGGGGGGGGGGGGGAGGGTGTCTCTCTCCCTCCCTCTCCCGCCTCCCCTTCCCTCCCCCCCCCCCCCCCCCAACCCTTTCCCTAAATCCCCCCGCGCCCGCGGGTGCTGGATCCACCCCCCGCTCCCCTCCGCCGGCGGGCGAGGGTGTGACCCGCGGGAACACCCACCCACCTAGGCGTCCATGGTGGGAGCTGTCCGCTCCGCGCCCAGCCGCGGACACCCCGCCGCCGCCTGCCGCAGCCCCCTCCCGCCGTTTCCTCCGCGTACTTTTTTTTTTTTTTTTTCCTTTTTTTTTTTTTTTTTTTTTTTTTTTTTCTGCTGGCGGTGCGGGCTCTCGGATGGTTTGCTGGCAGTAGCCGGGGGCCGTGCCTCCTTCTCCTCCTCCTCCTCCCAGCGCGCCACCATGTCGTAGGGGAGGTGAGTGCAGCGCGGAGCCTTGCGCGGGGCGCGGAGAGCGGCGCGGGTTAGCTGAGGAGGTGGCGGGGGAGGGGGGGGGCGGGTGTCCGCCGCACCAGCCGGCGTATCCAGGTCACGGCCGGTCCCGTCCCCATCCGTGAAAACTTCGCGGGAAGGACACGGACACGTCCATTGCTCGCCAGCGCTGCGGAGAAGCGCGGTGGCAGCGGCCGCTCCGCGGGTCGCTCCGCCGGCGCTGAGGAGCCGCCGCCTCGGCCCGTGCCCGGCGGGGGCCGCGGGTGCGGGTCGATATTTGGCAGAATAGGAAAATGTATTGGGGGGGGGGGGGGGTAGGGAGGGCCCCTGCACGTGACACCCCAAATCCTGGGGATGTTGGCGTTTTCGCTGTGCCCGGTGTGAAGGCGAGCCCCGCTCCCCGCAGCGGACCGCGGCTCCCCGCGTGACGCCGCGCAGCCGGCGATTTCGGGCGAAGGTGCACGGTGCCCCCCCCTTTCCCCTTACCCGCGCGTTGCACGGAGCTGCCGCTCCACGGTGGGATCAGCCCCCACCCCAAATCCCCGTGGACACTTCTGTCACCCCGCGAGGCACCCCCCCGGAGCTGTCCCCGCCGGGCCGGGGGCGCACCTGGGACTCGGGTGGGTACCGGGGCTCGTGTGTGGGGGGGGAGGGGGCGTTATTTACGGAGCGAGTTAGGAGCGCATCGCCTGAAAGTTTGCTCGGTGTCTGGTTTGCTTTTTTTTTTTTTTTTTTTTTTTTTTTTTTTTTTTTTCTCTGGGAAAAGGGTATTCCTGCAGCCGGGACGCGGGCGCCGAGGTGTGTGGGGAGGGACACACACACGCGACCCACACACACGGTGGGGCGGCAGCACCCCGGAGCTGAGGGCCGCCCCGGTGGGATACGCGGGATGCGCGGCTACCGCGGAGCGGAGCCAGCCCGGCGGAGCGCGGAGGACGAGTCCTTGAACCCTTCCGCGCGCTCCGCTTTTTTTTTTTTTTTTTTTTTTTATTATTTTTACTTTTTAGAATTATTTTTTTTCTGCCGTTTTTTCCCCCATTTTTTTTTTTTTTTCGGTTAAATCACCGCCGCATCGGTACCGCGCATATTCATGCGCCGCTAAAAGGCGGAAATCCCGGGCTCGGCGGACAGGCGATGCCCGGCCCTGCCGCCGGCGCGGACACCGGGCGGGGGCGGCCGCGCCCCGCGCACCTCACCTGCCCGCGGAGGAACCCCCCCGGCCCGCCGCCCCGCCACCCTTCCGCGGGGGGGGGGGGCGGGGGCGGGAGGCTTCCGCGGGCGCGGAGCCCCCCGGCTCCCCGGCGGGGCTGGCGCGCGGGGGGGGCTGCGCGGCCCCTGCGGCTTTAAGGAGATGCGTTTTCCAAGCCTGTGTCGCAGCAACTTTGTATCAGTCATGTCGCCCGGCGGGTGACTGACGGCGCGCCCCAGCCAATGGGGTGGCGGCCTGGACCCCGCCGCGCGGCGCTCCGCGGCCTGCCCGCCAATGAGGGCGGGCGGCGTGCGGGACGTAAACTTGAACTTTAGGTGGGCATGTGACATGTTTTTAAAAGGACTTGGCACCTTTTCCCGTCCCCTCCCGGGTGCCGCTCTGTGTCACCGGGCGGCGCGGCGCGGCGCTGGGCGGGGGGGTGGGTGGGGGAGTCACCGCCCTCCGCGCCGCTCCGCGCCGCCCTGCGCTCTGCTCCGCGCCGGCGGGGGCTCGGGGACGCGCCCCGCCGCAACAGGTACCCCGGGGGCCGCCGCTGAGGCGGGGGGTGCCGCTCCTCTCCGCCACCCGCGCAGGGAGGTGGGGGCTGGTGGTGGGGGGGGTGTGTCACGGTGATAACTCGGACCCTCTCCACTGGGCGGGGGGGGGGGCGGTGTTTGCGCGGAGGAAAAAAAAAAAAAAAAAAAGCGGTTTTCTGCATCGCTTGGGGGTCTGGGTGGTGGGAGGGTGCAGCCTCGGCCGAAAGCGGGTTTGGGCTCTCGGGATCTCTCCTCCTTCTCCCTTCCCCCCCCCCCCGAGTCGACTCCCCGGCGAACGCCTGCGAGGGAGGGAGCTCGCTCGCTGCTGGGTTTCCCCACGCGTGACAATCCGGGTTGTACCTGCGGGGGGGTTCGTTTCGGGGCGCAAAGCGGTGCTTTCCGCCCGGGAGCTGCAGGGATGCTCCACGGAGAGTTAGGGCGGAGAGGGAAATAGGCGTGTGCGCTGCTTGCGTGGGTATTAATCCGCGTGTGCGAGGACGGAGGGGCCAGCCCGCCGCGGCGGGTGGCGGTGCCGGGGGCAGCCCACCCACCCACCCACCCGTGCTTCCAGCCGTGCTCCGCTGCCTCGGAGAAAGGTGGGTGGGTGTGGGGGGGAACCCCAGCCCGTCTTTGACGATGAAACTGGGGTCCCCTGGGCTCGCAGGCAGTGAAACTTTCATTTACAAACCTGAAGAAATAAGAAGTGGGTGGTTGCTTGAGCCGTCGGTTTAGTTTTCATGAAACTGGATTTACCTCCGATTTTCCCATCTCTAGGTGACCTTTTGGTTGCAGGGATACCAGGTACCATTTGAAATTTTTTTTTTTTTTTTTTATTGTACTGTTGCTGTGAAACTGGTTTCATGCCTGATTGATCGGAGACTCGTACTGCGGAGGCTGTGTTTGTTGATATGTTTGGGGCGAAATACATAATTCCCAGTGTCCAAGTACTTCTTGGGGGGGGGGGGGGGAGGGTGTGTGTTCTGGAGAAACTGCTGTGCTCATAATACAAGCTTCCTTCTGCAAAATATAAGATGTGATGCTTTCGGTGCCGATAGGTAATGCAACTCAGTTTCTGTTGTGGTCTGTGGGTATTTTAGCCTACAGTCAAATTCACTTGGTGAAAGTTAGTAAAAAAGAATGTCTGTGTAGTCGGTGAAGTGTGGATACCATGGGTAAACATGTTAGTCAAGTTGTCGTAAGCTCTGCTTAGAAGAACAAAACCAAACCCTTTATGCTACCCGCAGCTCGTGAGCTGGTTATTCAGTTCTAGTATCCACGGAGGCGCTC